GTAGCGCGGCTAACGGTTAATGGCGTACGAAATATACCATAAATTCCCAGGGCGAGAGAAGGGAATTGCTATTGTGTTCCCTTCCCTGGGTACGGGAGAGTGTGTCTATGCCATCGATCAAGGTCTCTGTGTCCCTCTTGAATGTATGACGTCCTTCGACTAATACACAGAAACGCATTATCCTGACACTGCAGAGTATGTTTGATTTTACTAAACCTTGATTTCCAATTTTTGATGTACATTATACTCCAACCTGTGTACATTGAAGTCTTTTAACGTAAATCAGTTTTCGAAAGATATTGATTATTCTCTGTTCTTTGATTGAAAAATTCTATTGGCAAAATTAACAACGATTATTTTTTCATTACCAATACTTTTAATTTTTGTGTGGTAAAATGACTCAATACTCGTAAGAAAAAAGGCCTAGAATAAAACGGTAAGAACCAAATACGAAATGAGAGCAAAACACTGTACAGTTACCAACGGCAAACGATATTACCCCATGGAAAATATTCCATCAATTCTGAAGCTGGAATTAGTAGGTATTGTTTTGTAATGATATTCTCACAGTGAAGAATACCCGCAAGTCGGAGGTTAAAATATAAATTAAGAGAGGATATCTTGGCGATTTCAAGGGCCCATTGTGGTAACTTCAGAAGTTTCTACAAATTGAGAAGTGACATCTCTTTCATTTTGGAACATTCACACGAAGTGCAGCATTACGTGTTGATTATATCTTTGTATGTACAAAAATTGCACAAAAAATAATAATAAATTGCAAAAAATAAAAATTAAATGTATATCCCAACAAAAAAATAAAACGTATATGTTACTTTAAAATACCATCAACTTCAACAATAAAATGTTGGCATAGAGTCAAATTTCAGAAACTAGAGACAACATTCCCGTTTTGTTCACAGGATAACGTACGATCAAATTTTCTCCACTATTTAATAATTTTGTTATTTAGCAGAAAAAGATTTATTGGCAAAAGGGGTGTAAAATCCAGAAGTCTCTTCATGCACTCACCACCAAACACTTCGGAATATCAATTACCCTTTGATAGCATACTTTAAAACGTAAGGGGCATCACTGCGAGTTCCCGAGGGCATCGAAGACATCGCCAGCTCGTCTCGCGGAGCGCGCGTATGCTTATTCCCTCGGAGAGACGTCAAGCCCGCGCTCTAACCGCTGGGGTACAGGAGAGCACTTCGGAGGAAAAAGCAAGTCGGTCGGCTGGGGAAAGATGTAGACATAGGAGGTGGCTGGGGACCGTCAATTCGAGAAGAGGGAGGTAAAAGTGTAAAGAAGGGGCGGAAGACAAAATGACGCTCCCTCGAGGATTGCCTTCTCTCGCCTGGCAGACGCGGCGGGGTGCGCGGCGGGGTGCGCGGCGGGGCGCGCGGCGGGGCGGGGCGGGGTGGCGCAGTGCGTGCAGGGACGCAGCAGGCAGGAAACTGCAGAGAGGAAACGGGGGTTGACAGGGTGAAAGGCAAGGGGCACGAACAAGCGGAGTGCACTCAGGAAAGTCGAAGAAACGAAAAAACGAAAAATAAACAGCATTGACGAATGCAAGAAACAAGACGGAATATGGAAATTCCAGGTATAAACTGAATGGACAGGGACAGGAGGATATTGTGCAGTATACGGGAAAGAGAAGTCAACTGGGAGGAGTTACGTTACAAACTGTTGGGATGGAAAGCAGAGGCACGAAGGGGAAAGAACTACTTGGAGAAAGTGAATGCAGAAGGAAGTTTCAGAAAGAGTACGTAATGAAAGTGATAACAAACAATCGGAATATAACCGAAGAGAGAGAGATGAGGAGGAAGTGACAGGGAGAGGGAAGAGATATATATTTAGTGAATGGAACACAGTCAAGAAAACAACTGATAATGAAATATTTAGAAGAGGTTAATAATGCCAACAGCCAAACGGCCAACGGAAGTCAAAAATGTTCTTTTGACGTAAGAACGTCTGTCTAATGAGACATAAATAATGTTAGAAAAATTTACATAAAAGATTAAACTCAAATTATAGTAATAAATGTACAAGAAATCGACCTCCTAACCACAGTAAAATCAGAAGAGTGTTGGAAAACAAAGTATTGAAGCATCTAACTGCGCCAAAAGAAACGAAAAGCGGAGAGCGTGGGATCAGGCGGAGAGGCGGGCAGTGCACTCCCACGGCGGCGTGGGCGGCGTGGGCGGCGGGGACGAACGCAGATGTCGCGCGGCGGGCGCCCCGGGCCCCACGCCCGTCCTGCGCCTCCGCGCGCGCGCTCTGGGATCGACTTCTCGCCTTCCCCTGCGGGCTTAGGCGACTCACGTCCGACCTATTTCTCTATGACTCCCCGCCTACCTACGCGCGCAGGGATCCCTTCAGAATCTCTTCCCCGCATTTACACAATGTCTCGCCTCTGCGTATCTGTCAATCCATCCTCGCTTCCCACTTGATTCACTTTCCCGCCGGCGTGCTCCTCGGCATAAGAAGGCTAACGGGCCTGCCGGCGCGCCAATTCCGTATTCAGAGGACGCTCGCCTATTTCCCGACTATTACGTCTGTCAGCTCGTAACGCCGAATTTATTATTTACGTCCCTCAGTTTCTTTTCCTTCGTTTTACATCTATTCTTTCGCAGTTTACGGCCGCACGCTGACTGCTTGCGACGACGCATGGCTTTCCAAACCCGGTCGCAATGAATACTCGAGGGCGAATCAAAAAGAAAATACACGTGAAATTCAAGGCGAAGTAAAATATAATTTATTAACTCGCGCGGCGCAAAGCTCTGTTCGGCGTAACTCGTAGAAGAAGGCAGTTACAATAGCCTACGATAATGCATTTCTTGGAATGGCAAGGAGCAGAGACTCTGAAGAAGCAGTCTGATATTTTCTGTGCGATTTCGCGTTCTTTGTGTTCATCGCAATTTCCGCATTCTCGGCCAAGGTGTCGCCCTTCTTTGTGCGATTCTTTTGTCCCGGCGAGATAACTTCCCTCGAGGTAGTATTTTATTTTTAATCTCACTTTACCGTAAATCTCGGTGTAGGTCGTTTTCTTATAAAAAAAGAGCTCGGTCGCTCCCTCCTTCTTCACTCCAGGTTATATTAAGAAAACCGCTTTCATTCTCCCTCCTGAGTTTGCAGAAGTCACGTTTCCATGCTGATTAACTACTACATTCGAATATAATCTTATTACAAGCTCCCTCAACGAAAACTTTTATCTTCTTAAAAATTTGAATGAAAACGTACAAGAATACTTCAGATATGACTTTAGGGTATACGAAGCAATTTAAAAGAAACAAAAAGTAGGGAAGTGGACTTACAGGCGCCAGGGTGACACAAATACAATGAATAAAGGTCAGCACAATGCGTGTCAAGCGACAAAGCGCAAAAGAGATTGTTTCCTCTGGTGTCTCAATAGACGAGTACAGATGCAAAATACGAGTCACAAAACCCAAAAATGAATGAACATTATCAAAATTCCGCGTAATGGTTAATTATGTAATATGAGTAACAATAAAACGCAGAAGAAAATGTCGTTAAGGATGGATAGAAAAAAAGGGAGCACAGACAGATGCACAAGAAAACAGTAAAACGATAATGGTAAAAAGTTTTGTAAAATCTATTTATAATTAAATAAGCGCATGTCATTCAATTCCTCGCTTCTAGATCGCTTACGGAATAAGAGAAGGTGAAATCGAGATCAAAACTATTATACAAATGTTACACGAATGACAATAAAACTTGATTCAAACGGTGAAACCAGAACAAAGATAATTGAAATAAAAATACGTGTCATAAATGGATATTCCACAGGGATTTGGTTAAAGGCGATCGCCATGCTGCGTTAATAATACCGAGAAGACAAATCCGAAGAAGTGCTGCGAGCCGCCAAGAAACGAAAGCCACGAGTCAAGCAGCGGTCCGTCGGAGGAGGGGCGTGGGCGGGCGAGGGCGCGGGGCGGAGGCCAGCCGGGGCGGCGAGGGCGGGAAGTCAAGGGGGGGGGGCAGGGTGCTCCCGGAGGCTCCAGCGAGTGTTTAACCCAGCCGAGAAAACGAAGCGGCAGCAAACAATGGTGGCTCTTCTCGAGAACGCAAGCAGCAGAATCGCAGCTTTCGGATCCACGGCGCCGTTAGAGCGAGCTTCCGACCGGGCGGGGCGGGGCGGGGCGGCTGAGGACTGCTTGGAAGGGGCTGACAACACAGGGGAATGGCCCTTGGAGGGAACAGGGCAGCCGGTTGAGGCGCGGGAATTAGATAGAGGAACTGATACGATGGGGAGGAAAGAGCGAGAACGAGGAATATAAATAAGAAGGCAGGCTGACAGAACAAGGAGATAAGAAAGCAAATGGAAGGAACAAAAATGGGAAGTAGGAGGGAACACACAAGTCACACTAAGTAAAATGCAAGAAGTGGTATACATACGGAGTATAAAAAAGTCATGGAAAGTGTATGAACAATAAACTTATAAGAAAAAGTAAGAGAAATACACAGAACAGAGAGAAAGAAGAAAATAAACGTGTCAGAGGAGCGGTGAGAATAAACGACGAAGTGACCATAGGGCGACGAATAAAAAAATTAAGAATGCACGAAGGCCATGGACTCAGAGAACATCGGGAGGATTTGACGAAGTAGAGACGTAATGCAGGCGCGGATCCACGGAGGGGGGTGTGTTTCAGTAATGACTCATTTTAACTTGTCACGAAATGTTCAAGCAAAAAGATTTACGTTTAATCACTAAAACGAATAAAATCGTATCGTAGCATGAGCTGAGTGTAGCCTGTTACATTTTAAAGACTCTGTAACATGACACATTCTTCGACGAAAACATTTCGGATTTCTTCTCCCAAAATTTCTCTCTGTATCTCTCTGCTTAATGAATAGTTCCAATCTACATTGATGGAAAATCCTATGCTGTTGACGTTGTAGAAAAAATTATTGAGAATGGACATAAGCAAATTCTCCTTATCCTCTAACATGCCAAAGTTTAAAATCATCCTCACTCACGTAGAACTTGAATTGATAATGATGAATAAAAATTAGAAAATAGTAAAAACCAATGTACACTACAAAGGAAGTTCATGACATGACATATAATCTTACAAACATTCAAATTAAGAAAGTTTTGTAGTTAGTGCTATTTGGCATATGAAAAGTTTGATAAGACGCATGTGCACACGGAGGGAGCAAGGGGCTTTAACTCCCCTAAAAAAACTGAAAGAGGTCCCGTAGCTCCATGTAATAATACACTATTTCTGTAAATATGTTCAATTGGGAGAATGTTTATGTATTTTCGGAAGAAACTCTCCAAGCAATCTGGCAATTCTGTAAGTTGTTCAACATCATTTTTTTTATTAATTACAACATAAAATTTATTATTTCAATATCCTTGAAGAATTTATTTATTTACTTACTAGCAAAATATTCCACATGTAAATCAAAACATTTAATGGAAAAGGGGATCCAGAAATGTAACTGCCCACTCTTGTTTTAGGCTTCGCACGCCCATGCAGAATGTTGATTAAATTTTTAAAAAAAGGGTCATTTGATTACGAGACCTCCTTTATGCTCAGGGCATTTGGCCGCAAGACCCTTCACCACTAAAGTAATCATCAGCCTCAAACACCACTTAGCGCATTTGCCCGAATTACCGCCGTTTAAGATACCTACTAATAGTTTGTACCACGTAGATAAAAAAACCTTAGCTATAAGGATCTGTTGTGGGCCTGTCTTCTACCGTGAAGATGCGGCTTCGGTAGAACCGGTAGCGAAACGGTCTCACATGCTCTCCCAAGCTACCCAAGACTAGGTAACACCCAAGTGCGTGGGTCACCCTCACTAATTTAACCAATGACAAGTGAACATTAGTTGACCGAATTAATATAACATAAAAAAGATATTCGGTAGCTCAATTTTTTACAACATCGATCTTTCATCTTCAGCTCAATATAACTTCGGTATTACTCCACTTTTACAATGATTTTTTTCCACTTTTACAACCGTAGCAAACCGATGTCATGGTTATCACATTTCCAAAGCATGCAAGCAAATACACATGACGTATGCAGTGTTAATTGATTAGATTAGCAACATTCATGCGACAATAATCCAATGCAATGTAATGAACATGGAATTCATGAAAAATGTATTGTCCTAAAGACATGGAATTCAAAACGATCAATTTATGGAACTGAATACATAACAAGATTAACACGTAAAATATCCGTATTAATGCTACTTATTTTCAGATTCAAAACGTTTTGTGTGAAATTCCTGAGACTGACAGAGTTATGGAGATGAAAGGAAACTGAAATATTACAATCAAAATTTTTAAAGTGCCAAAACGCCATTTACATACTTTCAATTTTTAGAAGTAAATACGTGGATCAATAAATGCACTGGAATAGTTTTTGAAGCTGTAATTGACAGTAATGAAAAATTAATTGATAGTGATGTAAACATGTATTGATGTGAGTAAACATGCAGTAACATACCGCAGGTAGGAAACTATTCAAGCATCGCTAAGTTTTCGTGTTTGGGAGAAAGGAAAGTTAAGGAAGGACGCAATACAAAAGAGTAAGCTATGTGCATTTGTTCATGCAAAAATGAATAAAAATCAACAAAATACAGCCCCAACATCCAATCCTTTGTACAATCAGGCCAGGAGTACAAGGCGCCGAGCAGTATGTAAATTGAACCATTCCAAACTTTTAGAAGGAAAATACGGATTAAATTTTGAATATTCATGGTTTCTTTGGTTTATTGGTTTAAAAATTGAGTGTTTTGTATTAGTAGACATGATTTATTCTCCCAAGCCAAATGAAACATGTTTGGCCTGGAGAAGGGCCTCCGTCCGCCCAAACCACCCGGGCTGAAGCCGTTGCAGCGCAGCGCCTCTATCCGCAAAGGAGCAGGCTTCGTGATGGCAAACTTTAGCAAAACATCGATACATCACCAAACGTTTTGATGTCGATGAAAACATCCACAAAGAAACGTCGGTGTTTAAAATAATGATGTTTTAAATATGATAAAATGTCATGATTCTAAGGTGATGCATAACACATCAACATTAGTTTAAAGTATATTCTGCCTTATATTTGACCGTCATCTTAATTTTGTAATCAATGTTCTATGCGGACAAGGTTCAAATTGCAGTTTAACCCCGTACAAAATAATACAAAAATACAACACTGGAGAAAGCTTGCGAATAGCAAACGGCTTCGTGTCGCCCGGGGTTCGACAACAGTGACAGTTGTCGATGGCTGTTGTCTGCGAGCAATCCACAAATAAAATAGTTACTGGAATTTTTATTTATATCATGAGATTTTGGTTTCGAAAACATAGATGTTTCTGAACAGATGTATCGATCTGAAGAAAACATGAACGATTTATTCGATTATTGATGTTTCGGTTGCCACCCGTCGGCGGGGTACTCACGTGTGCTCCTTGAGGACCGTCTCCAGCTTGTTGTCGCGCACGTTCCACACGAATATGGACCCGTCCGAGGAGCCGGCCGCCACGTAGGAGCCGTCGGGGCTGAAGGCGGCGCGCGCCCAGTCGCAGCTCACCTTGAACTCGTCCGCGCTGCGCACACACAACACGATCAGGTACACTTAGGCACTCCACCTTTGCGATTCCGCGCCGGTACATCTGTACATCGACACAACGCAGCCAGAGAGGGGCGCTGAGCCATTCTGAAAGGCTGGCGACCGTTGGCGGTTTAACAGTTCACCGACCGTTCAGAACAATACATGCAAATGAGTTGCACCTAAATATGGCACTTCAAGGATAGTTATTTATAACACCAGTATAAAGTGACACTTTATTTTACAGGTAGGAAATTGATCAAATCGAGTGACGCAATCCTATGAGCAAAATAAAGTCACTTATACCACGTGTGCCTTAGACTATTGTTAGACAGCCTTACTAACTTTCATTTTATTTTCAATATACAATGCACGTGGCAGATGATGCGTCAGATGAAAGTATTTTGTTTACTTTATTGAATTCACAGTTTTGTATAAATATTTTATCATTGTCTCAGTTCTAGCACTAGTACTACAAAAAACAGTTTAACACGTAGTGTATGGACTAAGAGTAATTGTTCTTACTATTGGTTCTCTAAGAGAGTGTTTCTAACTTATAAAATGTGTGCTGATAACAAGGTGGTTTTACAAAAAGTATTAAACGACATTCGATCGAACTCGCAAATAACAGACTTGGTTCGTGCCTATAGCCCCGGTTTACTAACTTCAACCCCGCCTGTTATTTGATTCATATCTACCTAATGATATTAATATCAAGTAGCATGCTAGTACATTTGTTTCAATAATATTAGTTGAGAAGTATAATAATGAAGTTTTTGCCAGTCAAGAGATGCCAACCCATGATTACCAATCACTTTTAAGAATAATGTATACAAGAATCGTCGCAGGATGACCGCTGAAACGTTGGTAACGAGACGAGATATCTCCTGTTCAATCGTGATTCTAGTGACACGGCCACGAAAGCATAATTGTGCCTCGAGAGTTAAAATAACGTTATTCCTTAAAGGTTGTTCTGAACAATAGAAGATTCAATACGTAAAGTAAAAATATAATTGCATTAACAATACTACTCTGAACAAAAAATAACTTTTAGTGCAAGGAAAATTTCAAATACAATTTTAGTTGGCCAATAATTTTCAACCCACTCAACGTACTTAAATACGAGCTTTGTTTTAATATTGCCTTTTTTAACTCTCCACGTCGAAGAATGGTCCCCGTTTGTTCTCATCGTTTTATTTCAAAGTGAACGCTCAATGCAACATTTATTATTTACCTGTAGCCACATACTTCTATTTATAACATGCAATTGTATTGGCTTTCATTGATAAAGTACAAACAATATCCGTACAACACATTCTATTTTAATAGTTTGATGGATTTAATTCGAACTGAATTATTTTGCAAACACTGTGTTATTCTGAAACAAGTAATGTTTAATAATAGTGACTAACCTGAACGACCCAATAACTTGCTTCATTCGCAGATCCAATATCCTAAGGGAGTTGTCTCTGGCGCAAGCGAGTAGGAAATTGTTATCTGTAAATGAAATAGCACTACACTAAAAACAATTGAAACATCTCGCACATACATCATCTTTTCAATCCGTTAATACATTGACTAACAATCATCAAAGTGACAAACCATTAAGGTGACCAATCGTTCTTCATTAGGCAAGACTGTCCTCCTTTTTAAGGTTCTGTCCCTCGAAAAGTGTCCTACTACCTGTCCTACTTTCCTATATTTTAAAACTAATATGTTAATCTAGTGTCAATGCGTTAATCTAATCAATCAAGAGAGAAATCACGATTGAATGATGATACTTTTGCTGCAACAGTTATCGTAAAATCCCATATGAAGGATATTTCTAGCCCCGAAATTTCCAATACATTGTTGGAAAATTATATATTCATAAAAAATATTGAATCAAAGGAAAAATACTCATTTAATTAAATAATTAAAAGAGATGTAAGCATAATTACTGCATTTTTTATTTGAAATAATAAAGTGTTTATTTACGTTGTAAATTTATTTACGTTGTACTTTCCTTCGTCCTTTTCCTCGCAGAGCGCGCAACCGCCGCCGTGAGCAGGCGTGCGCAACGCACTCACCGCGCGAGAGGTCGAGCGACGTGACCTTCCCGCTCAGCTCCACCTCGTCCGCCGTGCGCTCGGCGCGCGTGTCCCAGAAGCGCACGCGCTTGTCCACGTGGCCGCTGATGATGGTGGAGCCCGACCCGTCCAGCGTCACCACGTCGTTGCAGCTCGACCCCACGAACTTGGTCTCGATGCCTGGCGACAAACAACGAGACGCAGCCATGAAGCGGGTCGGGGACAAAGATGTAGTCGCTCGTGGTGACAGCGGCGCAGACATCCTTCGCGACTTTCCAACGCGTGCGTGGATGTATTTTTCCTCATTAAAAAAGTTTCGTTTATTTACTAGTGCAGTGCTGACTGCTGCGTCAAATTCACAACATGGTATTGTGTGCGCGGCTTGAGGGAAATTTAAATACATTAAATTACATTACATTCCTCTGCGAATTATGCCGTGTTATGTCCTAGATACTTCACATAATTTGACAAGACAAAATTTATTTCTTACGCAAATTTTGTTCGTTTTCTATTTTTGTTTTGAAATACGGCATGTAGAACCTCATACAACTAAATTAATTATTTCTTATTAAATAACATTATACAATTTATTAATGGAATTATTTTATATTAAAATTCTCTACACCAAACGTTTGGCGGAAGTTCGGATAAAGCTGTAATTGTGTAGAGAGCTCCTTCGCAACAATCGTTACAAATAGTATCATATAGTATTAATTTAGCGCCTTCGTCTTGGCTATGTTTGCTTCAGGAGACACCTTACTAAACTTCAAAGGTATACAAAAAGAGCCTACAAACTAAATTAAGCTAATCGAGTGAATTATTTTTTATAAAATACTATTAATAGCTTCCCTTTAATATTGTTCCAACGTGTCCCTGCACAAAACATGATAACTAGACGTGCTCCAACAGCATACACTTACTTGCATTAATTGTAACTTAAGGAGTTTTTGCTAATTCAGTCAAACGAAAGTGGCCCCCGCGCCATTTTTAAGGGTCCTTCGCTATATTTGAGGAAAACTAATAAAAAAACGGAGGTATTTCTGAGAAAAATTCGAAAATGTCTTCTCTGTTATGTGTAAAGTATCTCCCAAAATCCAAATAAACGTTTCAAACTCGAAAGGCCTCGAGTTCGTTAAGATCTACAGGGGTATATCAATCGTGAAGAAAACCATCTGGGCGAATTAAGCGCTAGCAATGACCACGTACAGATGAACAGACGGACCTTTTTCATAAAAACAAATTTTCGATATCAAGGGCTCAGAGTATTGTTAGGGTCAGAGAACATTCAGTGTTCTGTGGCCGTTCTGTAGGGGTAAGGCGCCCATTTGGTATTTTTAAAAGATCAATTTGAAAGTCGTAGAGATAGTACAGTCTTCTACTCGCGTAGAAAAGCTATTATTCACTCACAGAAAGGCCATTATTCACTGGTAGAAAGGTTATTATTCACTCATAGATATTCCGACACGTCGGTCCTACATCGTTGTCGTAAACGTCAATTCATGAATATTAGCTATCATTCCAAGCTCGTTGAAGAATATACTATTTTGACCCAACATATGTATGTACCTATAATTATAGAATAATTCTGAAATATGAACATATAATGTACATTACATCAAAACATCAACACTATAAAATTTAAAAAAACAAGAAAATTTTTAATATTTTATTTTAATTAAGGAGCCACAATAATTAAAAATGCATGCGATAAATAAAATTATCAATGCATTAAATTCGAATCTCCTGAACAACATTTCTATGGAGGATATACCTTGTTTTTATTTAATGAAATCACTTTTACTTTCTCGCTTTTCATACCGTTGATATTGGGTTCGCGGCACTACGAAGACACCAATCGTCATTAATGCTCATTAAAAGTCCTGAGCACTTCCGTTCCCGAAATGTCACTTAAATAGTTTACTTTACAAGGACGCGAAACACGTTATTCACGCACGAGTCAAGTTTGTCGCCCGAGCATAGCAAGGCAGACAAAGAGACGAGTGCGGGAATCACCTCGCGCCCGTCTGGGTATACTATTCAATATATATTTTTAACACGCCGTGAGCGAAACGCAATGCGTCACGTAAAGGTAAATACATTAAATATCAAAAATCTAGAAATACCTTACTGGCACAAAAGTAAATGGAGACCAGTCAGTGTCGTATCACTATTTGTAATGTTTGTAAACACAGTAAACTCTCATTAACACGAATTTCACGCTATAACACGGACAAAGCTTGGGTCTTCGCAAGGGATGACTGTAATACGGACATTTATAATAAATAAACTGATAACATGCTTTTTTTTAACACGATTACTTCGGTCTCTTGAAATTCGCTATAATGAGAGTGTACTGCAATAAACAGAGACGTCGTCAAGACGAAAGACAATTGCGAATCGTTACAGATGATGTAAATTATTGAGCCTTAATATTACTGATAAACAATAATGATTAAAATAATTTTTTAACGTGCCGTTTGCGATTTTCCATGCTTGTTTTCCGAGTGCAAAATAGCAAATTTTTAAGTTTGTGATCGCGACGCGTGTTACTTTTTTGTGCGTTAAAATGTTTTTAATGTGCGTTTTTTAGTGCGTTTTTTAACGTGTGTTTTTAGATGCTTTTTAAATCATAGTTTCGAATGTAACAGTTCATTTTAGAAACCAAATGGTACGTAATTATATTGAACCTTGCAGACATGTATACATATCATAATATTGATGTAATATTTCCGTTCAAGAGCCAGAGTCATTACTTAATTTTCGTTAACAGACTTCAAGGGCATTCACAATTCGCGGGCGGCAAGTGGTTGGCGGATGCCGGCGAGGGCCTCAGTGAGTTCATGTGGTCTGCCGGCGAGGGCGCGGCCGTCGCGGTCACTGTCGACATAGTGCAGCCGGCCTACGGCAGATGGCGCGCTTCCCAAGGGCGCTCGAACAATTTCTCCAAACACAATAGGTTTCAAATAATATGTTAAATTGACAACAACGTAATATTTTGTACACGATTCTTCGTACTTCCAACACATACACCTCTGCATCCTACATGATCCCTACAACACCACGACAGGCGGCAGGCATCGCAGTCACTGCCTGACAAGAGGTTTTAAACCTCGAGTGAACAAATTGCAAGAATTACATTCTGCGTATTTGTCTTGGGTGGGTAAATTAATCACTTGCTTATATATCATGAAGTATTGATAAAAATATAAAATATTTAGCGGAAGAATATCAAATTATCATATACAGATGGTTTACACTACTATTTCACAATTATCATGTCAGCCGTATATTGTAGTAAAAAACATATCTTTTCATAAATAGTTGCAGATTTCGGAGGCAAGTCAGTACAGATTGAGGCTTCTGCTTTATTTAGAATGTCACGAAAACACAGTTTTCTTCAACATTACTCAACATTTTTTTAGTGATAAGTTATCAATGCAATCGACTTTCTTTACTACAACAAAGCCACCCATAGAGCACGCTTCGCTGCAATAGCATTAAGAGCAACTTCATCAAAGTGATAATTAAAAAACATTATTTTGAAACTTGAAAACGATCATTTTAAAATAACAAAAACTTCTGTTCGTGTCACACATTTTCAACCTAGTGGTGATACGGAATTGCACAGACTACCTCGTAATAGTTTTCTATTCCTTTGGTCTCGGCTAGCTATACAAACTTGCCACATATTTCCAGCTGCAATCTGTCGGCGCCCAAAGTAGATTGTTTTGAAATTTGCTAAATAATAGAAGGGAAATATTATTTCAACAATATTAAAGAACAGTAAACCGAATCGTAAATGCAACTTTCATTAAAAAGTTTGAAGCCGTTTTTAAGAAAATAGCGCTTAAGCACTATAGCAAATTCGAAATTTGAAGCACTTTTTCACAAAAATGTTTCGAGTTTTAGGTAAACTTAATTTCAAGTTATTTGAAGCACTTTAACTCACAAATACAACAGTGTTTACAAATTTCTGTAAATGTGCATATTACCGACGTGAGTGGTATTTCATAATATATATATATATATATATATATATATATATATATATATATATATATATATATATTACTGCGAAATTACTCCGAAACGACCTTAACGTCATATTAGAGAGTGAAATTAGTAGTATCATTTCGAAAGGTTTGAAGAAAACATTAGGAGCAGTTTTTGAGAAAATTGCGTTTGAGCGTTGCAAAAATTGCGAAATTTTGAGCTAGTTTTGACAGAAAACGTGTTCAGAACAGAAAAGAAAGAGTTCTCGAGAAGCTTTATCTGAGATTATTTAAAGCATATGTACTCATAAATATAATAATGTGAACAAATTGCCGCAAATGTAAATATTAACGATGTACGAGATAGGTAAAAAATGCATTTTTGTAATTTTTGAAAAAACAAAAGAATAGAGCAATATGTCCTTTATGTCATCTTATAAAGTACATTTAGCACAATCCCTACGGAAAGGTTGAAGAACATATTTGGGACATTTTTTGCGAAAATCTTGTTTTTGTAATTTTTTTAATTTGCATATATTGCACGCAATATCGCGCCAAAACAACTAAAATTTTCAAAAAAATGTAAATGACCGAAATGAAAGAACAACAAATTTTATGTGAAGAAAAAATCGGTATCTTTAATCTTGTAATTGTAGGAAGTCCCCAAAAAATTCAAAATTAATTAATTTCGAAAATTCAGAATTAACCGTGAAAATCGAACCTATGCCATATTTAAAAGTACATTTTACTCTATTCTTATATGAAATTCAAAGAAAAAATTTGAGCCATATTTGAGAAAAAAAATGAAAATGACAGTCGGGCGGACGGACGTTTGAAAAAAAAACTTGTTCGGTATTATGGAACTCCAAAACCTGTATTTTCGTTGAAATCTGGAAATCGATTTTCTGCAGCAATACATAACTTTCCCTATACTACGGACATTACTTCGTATATACGTACGTATATAGAAAAGAAAAAAATCTTTAAGGTCTCCACTATTTGACTCGGAATTGTTTCGCTACGCCACGTAGTAAGCTTTCCGGCATTGCTCGTAAAGAAACTTAAATGACTTGGCACATACATCATTATTTGCATGAATGTAATTTTCTATAATCCACGTTTTTTTATGATAATAAAATTCGTACGAACCTTCACAATCACTGATCCTTGTTTGTTTTAGTGACATATTCGAATATCGAACTGAGTAAGTTAAATTTCTTTCATGCCTTATTTTGTAACTGTCAATAGGAATTTAAAATTTATTGATGGT